GTGCGAGCGTGAGGCGGTGCTCGTACGTCGTGAGGTCGTCTTTGGCCTGCGCCAGCAGCGCCTCCGCCGCCTTGAGGCGCCGCTCGCGATCGACGAGGCCGTGCGCCACCGCCGCGCACTGCCGCCGATCCTCCTCGAGGGCGGCCTGCCCCGCCGCCAGCGTCGCCCGGGCCGCCGCGACCGCCTCCTCCGCGCGCCGCGTCTCCGCCGCACGGGCGTCCAGCGCCGCCTCCGCCCGCGCCAGCTGCGCCCGCCGCTCCTCCAGCGTCGCCGCCTCCACCTGTAGGGCCGTTCGCCGCGCCGCCAGCTCCGCCTCCGTCGCCAGGGCCTCCTGCTGCCGCGCGGAGGCGCGCTGCCGCAGCTCCGCCTCCGCAAGCTCCACGGCCGTCACCCGCGCCACCGCCGCCGCCTCGCGCGCGTCCACCTCGTCGCTCCTGCGGCTCAACTCCACCGCGGCGGAGAAAAGGGCCGCCTCGATGGCGACCAGCGAGTTCCACAGCGCCGCTGGCCCCGTCGCCGCCGGCACCCGCGGTTCTGCCGGCGCCTGCAGTAGCCGCCCCGCCTCCTTGCCGGCCGGTGTCACGGCACACGCGAGGCGGCGGCGATCGTGCAGCAGCCGCGCCACAGACACCCGCAGCGCCGCGGTGTCCGCCGCGGCGGGTTCCCCTCGCAGGACGTCGAGCGCGAGGGCCCCGTCGTCGTCCAACCCCTCTTCGCGGAGGATGGCCTCCACCGCGTTCTGCGTCCGCAGTCGGGCGGCGGCGGCCTCCGCTGCGATGCCGTGCGTGCGTGTGAGATGGTGAAAAAAGTGATGCGCGGCGGCGGGGGCGACGGCGGCGGGGTCGACGGCCGCCTCCACCCCGAAGTACCGGCAGAAGTCAATCACCTTCCACGAGGTGCTCATCGCAGTCCTTGCCGAGAAGCCTGCCTGCCTCCGTGTGTGCGAAAGCGGGAGGGAGAGGGAGCAAGCAGGAGAAAGCAAAAAGACGTTTTCAAATGCGATGCGTGCGAATAGGGTGAGGCGCCCAAAGGCAAGCGGGGCGCACGACGAAAAGCCAAAATAATAATAATAATAATAATAGTAAACAAACTAACACGCTAGGCAGTTCCTTCAGGGCTTCCCTCCTATTCCTCCTCTCCCGGCTCCGGCTCCTCCCCTCGCTCGCCAGGGCCGAGCTGCCTCAGAAACGCTCTCGCTTGCAGGACGCACTGACGCTGCAGCACGCCACCGCCGGTGAGTTTCGCGCTATTCAGCTTCGACCGCAGCGCCCGCTTCTGGCTCGTGTCGCGGCGCCAAAATCTTCTGAGCAGCTCCAGCGTCTCCCGGTTGGTGCTCTCCTTCGGCAGCACCCGCGAAACCGGGGCGGGGCGGGCCACCGCCTGCGACGCGCACGGCGGCTGCACTTCGCACTGGCGATGCCCCCAACCTCGGCGCGGCGGCGGCGGCGGGCGGCCGCAGAAGAGGCGTGCGAGGGGGGGCGGGCCCACCGCCGTCGGCGCCGCGGCGTCGGCGGGGCCCAGCGCATGCGCGACAGACGCCTTCACCTTCGGCAGCGCCCGCCCCGAGGTGGCGTTGATGCCTGCGAGGCTCTCGTCTCCGCCGGCGGGGGAAGTTTCCGCGCGGTCCGCCGCCGCCGCCTCGAGCTCCCGCACCTCCTCCTCCAGGAAGGTGCGGGAGAAGCAGAAGTACTTCTGCACCACCGCCTCCCAGAAGCGCTGCCGCGTCGCCGCGTCGGTGACCCGCCGCGCGAATATCTTCGCGAGGATCGGCACCTGGCGGAAGATGTCGCTCTCCAGCTGGTCCGTGATGGGGCAGAGGCGGAAGGTCCTCGGGTCGACGAGGGAGCCGACGGCGTCGAAGGCCACCGCCACCCCGCGCGGGAACTCCTCCCGCACGAGCGCCTCCAGCGCCGCCGCGTCGAGCAGGCCGAGGTCGACGGCCGCCTCGCAGATGCTGGAGGCCACCCACCGCGCGTCCGCCCCGCCCGCCTCCTCCATCTCCTGCAGCCGGCCGATGAAGCGCTCCCGGTCGCGGGGGTCCGCGAAGCGGAGCAGCAGCGGGGCGGCGTCCGCCACCACCACCTTCGCCGCAGCCGCGTCCCGCCGCGAGCGCAGCAGCTGCGTCACCTCCGAGCGCGTGAACACCCGCGCCTCGCCCCCCGCCCCGGGCAGCGGGACGCACGAGATCGCCCGCCCCCGCACCTCCACCCGGCACGGCACCCCGTCACACACCGCCTCCATCTCCCGGCGGCGCGCCCACACCGGCAGAGAGCAGCAGCAGCAACGAAAAAAAAAAAGAAGAAGGGGGTGGGAGGGAGCAGGCTGAGAAGTGTGGAGGCAAACGAAGAAGTACAGCAACCACCACGCTGGCGGCTCCGAAGGCGCCCCACATACCCGCACAGTCTTCGCCTACGCAGAGGGGTCAGACTGGAGACTCGCCACAGCCCCCGCACTCTCGCTCTCTCGCGCTGTGTGTGGTGTGTGGTGTGTGGTGTGCGGCACACAACCACAAACGCGCACCACAACGATGCGAGGGAGGAGCAAGCGGGAAAGCAAATCTCTTCCTCTTCTCCCACCTCCGCCATTTTCTTCTTCCCACCCGCCCCTCTGGCTCTCTCGCTGACTTCGCTGCCTCCGCTCCTGCCCTGCCATTAGCGTCCTCTCTGACAGGGGTGGGTCATTCATTCACTCATTCATTCACACACACACACACATATATATATATAGATACCTACATGGTGGGGCGGAGGCGGCTGTAACAGGGCAGCCGCCAACGAACCTGCAAAGGAAATTTAACAAAAAAAACACACACACGTACACTCCGCCCTCTCCCTCCCTCTCTACATGGTAGTCTGGATGTCTTTGATGTCCCTCACGCCGTGCTGCACCAACACCTCCCGGACGGCGGCGGCGTCGCGGGTGTCTATGACCAAAGAGTCGGGGATTGCAATGGTCTCCGCGGTGTCGTCGGTGTGGAGCACGGTGACGTGCCGGCGCGGCCGGCCGCTCTTGTAGGCGTCGGTCTCGGGTATCTCCCAGCACCGCTGCAGCGTCGCCAGGAAGCGGGCGTCGTCGTCCACGGCCGGCGAGACGTCGGTGTAGTACGCCACGAACTCCTCCAGCGTCACGGTGGCCGTGTCGTTCTTGCCGGGCCAGCTGTTGACGAACTCGAAGACGGCCTCGGCGGCGCTGATCACGCCCTCCTCCACGTCCGGCAGCCGCGGCGCGTTGAAGCGGAACAGGCTGAGCATGTCCCTGTAGTCGACGGAGCCGCCGCCCTCGACGGTGAGCCGCTGGAAGGCCTCGACGACGGCGTCCAGCCGCTGCGGTGGCGCATCCCCCCGCACCTCGCGAAGGAACTCCTGCGCCACGACGAGGCCGTTGCCGCTGCGGTCAAACCGCTTGAACACCGCGTCCAGCTCCAGCGGCTGCATCGCCACCCCCATGAGGTGGATGCCGTGGAGCAGCTGCTCCCGGTTGAGCGTCGTCGTGCGGTGCTCGTTGCAGGCGGTTCGCAGCGCCTTTGCGAGGGCGCGAAACCCCAGCCGGCCGCCGAAGCGCAGCGCGCCGTCGCGGATGCGTGCGATGACGAGGTCCACCCCGACGCCGCTGCTCATCGTCAGCGACATCGTCGACTTGCCGCCGTCTGAGCGACTCCGCAGCGCTGTGGCGGTGGAGGAGGACATGCTCTTCTGCGCCGCGTGCGTGGCGCCGCCGATGAGGAAGAGGTTCTCCGGGTGCGACGTCACGGCGGCGCGCGAGCGGGAGTGGGCGTCGCCGGCGTAGCTGCAGCTCACCTCGAACTCGTAGCCGAAGGAGGTGTTCTGCAGCGCCCGGGTGCAGCGCAGCGGCTGGTTGGTGGCGGCGTGGAAGAGGGCGACCGGGTCGCCCAGCTGCACCGCGGCGCCGTCGCGGATGTCGTCCCGCCGCTCGCCGGGTCGCACCACGACGAACACGTCGTCCCTGCAGGCCCCGAGGGCCGCGGTGAGCGCCTGCCTGCCCGCGTGGCCGATCTCCCGCACCCCGGAGCGCAGGTAGCAGAAGCCGTCGGCCGAGGCGTCCTCGTTGGCGATCCGCACCCGCTGGCCGTAGTGCAGCACACACCCCTCGCGCAGCTGCGTGGCGTAGGCGGCGTTGTTCTCGTCCTTCGCGCGGTGCAGCACCCACGTCGAGCGCACCTGCGGCTGCGGGGCGTCGACCGCGGTCACTAAGAACTGATGCGGCGGCTTGGGGGCGAAGCGGGGGGCCGTGTCGAGCGCCAGCGCGGCCCCCGTGGCGACGCTCACCAGCTGCAGCGGCTGGCCAAGCACGACGACGTCTCTCAGCTCCTCCAGGTGGGTGGCGTCGGTGAGCTCGAGCGCCGCCGTCCCGCGCGTCGCCCCGGTCTTGGCCGCTGACTTGTAAAGTTCCACCTTGTCCTCCCGCACCCGCATCTCCTCGTACCAGTTGCCGATGAGGACGCCCGGGGAGTACGCCATGGGGACGCTCGGGTCGTTCATCGCTCGCTCGCTTCCTTCCTTCCTTCCTGCGGTGGTGCCACCAGCCTGCCCGCCGCACGGGAGGATACACGCGTTATTTTGTTTCCCGCAGTGCGGAAAAAAGAGTGAGCGGGCGTATAAAAAAAAAGGCGAGGAAGTGCAAGCAGGCAACGGCGGCCAGTGTAACCATTTGCCCACACATCAGGCAGAAAGCAAAGCAATAAGGAGAGCGAGGGAGAGATAGATAGATATATAGATAGGGAAGCGGAGAGCCGCACCATTCGCCCGTGCTCGTGTGCAGGGAGGGGCATGCAGGCCTGCACGTATGTTTTGCATGTGAGTGAGTGGGTGGGATGGGGGGACTCCCTGCTTCTCGCTATTTTTTTTGTTTTTGTCTCGCCGCTCCCCCCACCCCCTGCTGCTTGTGGGGGAGAAGCGGGGAGGGGCGAGGAGGGGGGTGCGGCCCCCTACAGCTTCCCGCACTCGACGACCACCACCCGCTGCGCGGGGAAGCCGGACGGCGCCAGCGGCACGCGCTCAATCGCCTCCACCACGTCGTAGCCCCTCACCACGCGTCCGAAGCAAATGCACGTCCCGTTCAGGTGGGGCGCCGCCTCTGCGGTGAGGATGAAGAACTGCGAGCCGTTGAGGTGCGGGGCACTCACGGCGGTGCCCACGAGCCCGCGCTGGTCAAACACCGCCGCCCGCACCTCCTCCGGGGCGTCGAAGGTGTCGCCGTAGATCGACAGCTGCCCGGTTCCCGCGCCGCCCACGATGTCGCCGCCCTGCACGAGGTAGCCGCGGTGCACGCGGTGGAAGGTGGAGCCCCGGTACGTGAGCTGCGGGAGGAACTGGTCGCCAAACGCGGGGTCGCCCAGCCCCGCGGTGCTCGGCACCCGCGGCAGGACATTCTCCCCGGTGCAGAGCTTCAGGAAGTTCTCCGCCGCCACCGGGCACTTGCGGGTGAAAAGCTCGTACTCAATCCGCCTGGGGGAGCCGGGGCCGATGGCGACCTCCATGAAGGCCCGCCCGGCGGACGCCAAGCGGTGCCGGCTCGGGTGAAGCATTCGTCGTCCTCCTCCTGCGCTTCCGCGGCGCGAGAAAAGGCCGCAGAGGCACGCGGTGCCGCGAAGGCGTCAAGGTGAGAGTAAGCGGAGAAACAAAAAGCACAATAACGAAAAAAAGAAAAAGAAAAAAGGAACACAATAACAAGGGCCCAAGATCATTTTTATATACCGAACGAAATAGCGAGGGGGCGGGGAAAAAGAGGGAGCGCATCGCCCACCTCTTTTTTTTTTTTGCGTTTCTTTTCGTTTCTTCTTCCTCCCTCCTCGTTCACTCGCCACCTCCATTCCGTGCCGAGCGCCACTCCCCCGCCAGGTGCGCCTCCGCGCCTGCTCCTTCCTCGTTGCACGTGTTCATTGCCTGCCTGTCGCAGGCACTCTAAAAAAAGAAAAACATGTAATATATATATATGTATAGAAATGTATAGATCTATGTCGATGTGGCTTCTATGGGTCCTCATACTTCGCACTTGTGATGGTTCCATGCATCTCCACCCTGCGCAGCTGCGCGGGCGCGGGCGCGGGCGTTTCGTGCACGGCGGCTGTTAGTTTTTCATTCATCATTTTTTTTGTTTGTTTTACTGCACCCACAGCCGCGCCGCGGCTACGGCCTGGCGTGCGGGAGGCGGTGGAGGTCCTCCGGCGAGAGTTGCCCGCGCACCAGGCCGCTCGCCACCGCCTCGTCGGCGTGGTGCCACGACCAGCCGGGCTCCCGCGCCGCCTCGCGCCAGTCGTCCCACTCGTAGTACGCGGTGCAGACGAGGGCGTTGTCGGGCGAGAGCGTCTGCAGCCGCCGCGGCTGCAGGCGGGCGAGCTCGTCCACGCTGTGGGCGTAGAGCGGGGCGGCGTTGCCGCCGTCGAGGCACCAGCCGATCAGGTGGTTCGTGTGCACGACGAGGGGGGAACAGGCCGGTCCCGCGCCCACCGCCGGAAACGGGAGCGAGCGCAGGCGCCGCAGCACCCGCCGCACCCCCGCGGGACCCGCAACCGGCGGCAGCGGGCAGTTGCCGCCGCCGTACGGCCCGCCCAGCCGCGGGCCCACCACAACCCCCAGCAGGCCGCCGGGACGGTGGAAAAGCCACACCGCCCGCCGCACGCCGTCGCAGGGGCGCGAGAGGAGGAGGTTGGGGGCCCGCTGCACCGGCGACGGACCTCCGCCCTGCCGCAGCCGGGCGTAATTCATGACGGCCTGATAGGCCCACGGCATCCCCGCTGCCGCCGCCGCCGTCGTCGTCGTCGTCGTCGTCGCGGCCGACCGCATCTCGCGCACCGCGGCCCTCGCTTCCTTCGCGCGCGCCCAAACACACACACAAACACGCACCCGGCCGGGAGGAAACCCAGGCGAGCAGCAAAATAAGCCTACAAAATATATATATATATGTACATGCAGGCGCAGAAGACGGAAGGAAAAGAGGCGTCACGGCAGTGGGAGTACGCGCCTGGGCCGACCAACGGACGGGCGGAGGAAACGGCCCACACACACGCACACGCACACATGCATGGATGCAAAAAAAAAAACCTCGAACACCAGCCGCGCCTTTTGCTACTGATCACGGACAAGTAATAGCCGTTGTGCGGCAAAAAAAAAACGGGAAATAAAAAGGCCTACAAAAAAAAGGCGACGGTCATGGTGACGTACGCTGCTCTACCTCAACATTTGCTGCCAAAGGGGTCTAAAAAGGCAAAGGCGTCGTTGTGTGGCGCGCTGGTGTCCTTGACGGGCTCCGCCCTCGTGGGTTCAGAAGGGACAGGGTTTCTCCACGGGTCTGCGGGAGGTTCCTGAAAGAAGTTCACGCCGCCCCAATTCGTCAGCGTCGCAGCACCCACGGACAACGGCGGTTGTGCCTGGGCGAGCGGTGCTTGGCACGGCACCACGTTGGGCGCCACTGCAGAACTCATAGAAGAGGCATACTGAACTTGCTGTGGCGCCGGCTGAGACACATTACTAGGCGCCGCAAGACTATATCCGCCCTGCTGCATGCCGAACTGCCCCGGAATTCCAGGCTGCGATAACATGTTCGGCGGCCACGGCGCGTACCCAGCAGCAGGGGACGGCTGCGGCGTCGGGTACGGTACAGGAGGCCCTGCCGTGACGCCTGGGAAGACGGCCACGTTGACGTGCGGCGGCGCGGGGGCTGCGGCGAACCAGTCCTCGAGCGGCGCCTGGGCCGTGGAAGGAGACGCCGAGGCGGCAACGGCAGGCGGCGGCTGCGGCGGCGGTGCGGCGGCGGTTAAAAAGTCCGCGAACATGTCGTCGTCCGTCGGGGCCGCGGGGGCCGGCGGCGGCGGAGCCGAGGGCCTAAACAGGTCCACCGGCACAGCGTCTGCGCCCCGCGTCGCCGGGGGGGCGGTTGGGGCGAGTGCCGGCGATGAGGCGGCCGCCGTGTCGGTCGCCTGCGACGGCGATTGTGACGGCAGGGACCGGCGGGGCCCGCCTTCCGGCGAGGGGGGCAGCCCCAGCGAGCCCGACGGCCGCCGCGGCGCCCCATCGCCGCTCACCGCCAGCTGCACGTCGCTCTGCAGCCGCGCCAACTCCTCCCGGTCGACGTACGCGAGGTCCTCGAAGGCGGCCACGATGAAGTTGCTGATGGCGCGGTCGTTGCCCGGCCGCGGCCGCTGCTTTTGGTACTTGGCGAACCAAACCCGCGCCGCCCGGTCGTTGCCGCCGACGGCGAGGCTGGCGACCTCCGCGTCGGTGAACTCCGTCATGGAGATGCCCTTCACTTTGTGCTGCTGCGAGCGGTGCAGGGCGGCGCACTTGGAGCAGACGAAGACGTGAAAGTTGCTCACCACGTAGAGGGGGCCCCGCATCCCGCAGTCGACGCAGAAGCGGTTGCCGTCCCGCAGCGACAGCTTGCGCACCTCCTCCCGGTTGCGCTCCACCCGCCGCGCCTGCGGGTTCATCGCGTGCACGCTACTTCTCGCCCACCGCTGCCCCAAATACGCCGGCGTACGTGTTTCTATACGTCTAACACGATGTCTAATGATATACACACAAAGTAATGTGATGCAACGCAATGTGTGTGTGTGTGTGTGTGAGCGCGCTCTCGCTGCCGGCAGCCGCCACGGCGACGTTGCACGCAAACAGAAGCAGACACGAGGCACAAAACAGAAAAAAAAAGCAAAAGCAAAAGCAAAAAAAAAGGGGGAGGGAAGGGGCGGCAGGAGGAGTTGGCACCCGCACTGTGCGTGTGTGTGTGTGTGTGCGACGGCAACCCCCCGAAAAACAAAACAAAAACAAAAAACAGGCCGGCGAAGAGGGGCGAGAGAAAACCCCTTCCGCTCCGAAAAACAAAAAAGAAAAAAGTGCACAAGTAATCAAAACACACGCAAAGCAGGAGAGGCAAAGAGAGAAGAAGAAAAAAACGTCATAATAATAAAACACACACACACACACGCACCGCCGTTCTCGTAGTGATTGTAGCACAACACGGCAAGAACAATGACGATGTTTCTGCTGGTGGTGGTGGTGAGAAAGTCCTATAAAACTACGCCGGCTCTCCGTTTGCGCTGCCGCCTAAACCTGCACGCACGGGGGCCGCGGCGGTGGCGGTGGTGGTGGTGGCCGCCGCCTCCTCCTCCTCCTCCCTCCGCGCAGCTAACCGCCGCCGCTGCTTGGCTTGTGTCGACAGCAACGGCCCATACAGCAGGGCCTCGCAGCACGCACGCAGACAAGCACCCAAACGGAACTCCGGCCGCTACAGCTCGGTGGGCCGCTTGCGGAAGCAGGGCCAGCGCCGAACGCGGTCGAAGAGGTAGAGCCCTAAAATAGAGCTGGCAAGAAGGCACGGCGCCCCGACCGCCACGATCGCCGCTGCGAGGTACGGGGTGTGTTTGTACAGTTCCGCGTCCTCGCAGGCGAAGCCGCGCGAGGGGTCGGCGATGGCCTCAGGAACGCCGCCGCACGCCGCCGCCGGGCACTTGGCGCGGTACATGTGGCAGATGGACCCGGCAGGGGGCGCCTTGCCGCTGAGGCAGTCAGCCGCCGCAAGCTCGGCGGCGGTGGCGAAGCACCGACCCTCGGCGGCCCCAAGCGAGTCGAGGTAGCGCCGCAGGTCCGCCACGCTGCAGCCGTGCACCGCGGTGCCAGACGCGTAGGTGGTGCCCGCCGCGTCCATGCAGGTGACGTCGAGCCGCCTGTCCACGTAGCCGCCGGCGCTGCCGCCGTCTGCGGTCCACGTGAACTGGTACACCTGCACGTAGTGCTCGGCGCCCGCGGCGGCGTACTCAAAGACGATCGCGTCCCCAAACTGTGGCAGAGGCGGGGCGTTCTCTTCCAGCGTGTTCGTCGCGCCAAAGAGGCCAAGCCCGCTGAGCGCCGCGAACACCACCGGCATGGGCCCGACGTAGACGGCCAGACGAGTGCTGCTGCTGCTGCTGTCGTTGTCGGAGGCGGAGAGGCCGGCGAGCACCTCGCGGAGCAGCGGGCCAGCCAACGGCCCCATCTCCCGGCTCTGGGGGTCGCGCGGGTCGGCGCCGTACAGGCGCCAGAGAAGCCGGCGGCTGACGGCCTGCACGGCGGGCAGCAGCGGTCGCAGCGCGGCGTCCTGGCGGCCCGCGGAGGCGTTGGCGGCCCAGCTGTCGTAGACGTACAGCGCACACAGCGAGGGGGAGCGCTCACAGAGCCCCGCGCTGCCTGGCGGGAGGAAGCGGGAAAGCGTCCCGCGGGCCGCCGGCGTCAGCCGCTCCGCCGCCCACGCGTCGTCAAGGTGCGCCTTCGACCTCCACGCATCCTGCAGAATCCACGAAGGCCAGCTCTGCGTGACGGCCAGCAACGCGTCGTCCTCTGCGGGGCGGGAGCGCACCAGCGGCAGGGCGCGGGGGAACATCCCCAGTGTGACGGCCTGGCCCGTGGCGATGGTCCGTGCGGTCTGCGCCGCGCGGACGGAGACGCGTGTCGTGTTGAAGTGCGTGCCAAGGCCCAGTGCATCGCCGTAGCGCGAGCGCAGAAAGGCACCGAGGCGGAGCGACACTTCTCGCCCCGCGGCGGATAACTCGCAGTCGTCACAGCTCATTTTCCCGTCCGTCAGGCGCGACAACCCGCGGGCCCCGTTGCGCGTGAGCACCGTCACTTTCAGCAGCGTTGCACTCTGCCGGCTGGCGGCGCACGGCGGCCCCGCCATGAGCAGCAGCAGCAACAGCAGCAGCAGCAGCGGTGTAGCCACTCGCGCCTGCATTGTGTCCAACCTGCGCTAACTCCAAACTGCAGTAAAGAAAAAAAAAGGCACACGCAGGGGCAGCTATATATATATACTATATGTAGTAGATATATATGCATAGAGTAGACATTATATATAATACGTAAGGAAGCATTTGGCCCAAGGGGCAGCATGCACACCTACATTCACGTGTGCGCCAAATCCCTCTCCTCCGCCCCTCCTCATTAGTAATGTTTTTCTTTTTGTTTTGCTGGTTGGTTGGCCTGCCTGCGTGCTTGTTACTCGCACGCTGGAGGAGGAGTCAACCGATGCACAAACCCACGCCGCCTAGGCTGCGGCTGCGGTACCTACAGAGAGAAGAAGAAGAAGAGGGGCAAGAAAATACAACCGGGAGGAGGAGGGGGGGGGGGGCGTGGGTGGGCGCGTCCAGCGTTCCAAAGGGGGAAGTCGCGCCGGGCTACTTTGCCGGCGGCTCCCCCTGCACAAACCGCCGCGAACTCGTCTCCCACGTCTCCGGCGGCAGAACGCTCCAGTGCGGGCTGGGCGTCTTCTTAAGCCACTGAAAGTCGTCGACGGTTTGATACGCGTTCTTCGTGCGCTCCTCCACCCGCTGCTCCCCGAGGCCCCCCACCCACTCCTCGTGCGTCGCGTACGCGTGCCCCTCCACGCGCGACTGCAGCAGCCCCGTCCAGCAGCTGTAGGGGCCGAACCGCATCCCGCTGCAGCACTCGATGATCGGCGTCGAGGCGCACCAGACGTAGACGTCGACGTCCGTGCAGTTCTTTAGCCGGAGCTGGTGGCAGGCGACGTACACCTTGCAGCGCGCGCAGTCGGAGATAAACACGGAACCGGGGACGGGCAGAAGCAGCACCTCGCACCCCTCACACTCGCGCAGGAAGACGGCCTTCGCCGGGCCGACGCAGAGCGTCCGCCCCTGGGCGTAGCCGTACACGTTGCCGGCGCGGCTCTGCTCCTCGTGGCCCCGCCGCAGCGAAGAGGCGGAGGCGGAGGAGGCCGCCTGCCGCTCCCCCACCACCGCCTCCGCGCCCCCCGACTTGGGCTGCGCGGAGAACTTAAACGCCTTTGCCCGACCAGCCGTGTCCCGCTTGGCGTCGATCAGCCCCTGCAGCCGGGCGAGGGTCGCGTTGGACCGCGCCATCTCGTGCGACGTCAGCGCGGCGTTGCTGGTGGCCTCCTGCACAAGCCGCTTAAAGCGATTCACGCGCTCCTGGGCGGCACGGGCGTCGCCGTCGCCGAGCAGCTGCGCGACCTCCCGCTCAAAGTCCTTCGCCTGCCGCTCGAACTCCAGCTTGTCCACGGCGACGGGGGAGGGAACGGCCGCCTTCTGTTGCCGCGCCTCTTCCCTCTCCGCCCGCGTCCGCAGGAAGCGCTCCTCCATGGCTGGTTGCCCCGCCGCTTTCTGCGTGTGCGTGCTCGCGAGAAGAGAAGAAACGCGAGAGGGAGAGAGAAGCAAAGAAAGAAAAAAAAGAGGGAGAAAAGAGAGAAGACGGGGGTGGAGTACAGTTTCCGCCGCCGACTGCCACGTTTTTGTTGTTGTTATTGTTGGTTTTCAGCTTTTTTTTTGTTGTTGTTTTTAGTGCTATCGGGTCTTGGGTCTCGCTCGCCTGCCGCATGTCCACACGCACACAAAAAAAAAATATGCAACTAATAAGGCTGGACCCTGTTTGTGTGTTTGTGTGTGTGTGTGTGTGTGTGTGTGTGTGTGTGTGTGTGTGTGTGTGTGTGTGTGTGTGTGTGTGTGTG